ACAACAATATTGAGACAAGAGGGCGAATCTTCACCAAAATTAGGGCGTTAAATGGCCATCGTGTTGCAATTCTTAAAGCTTGTACTACAAGAGTAGTTTTTTGCATAAAGTAATGCCCTGTGGTTTCGATTGCAACTCTCTTCCTAGGGATTAAAATTCTCGCTCTTATGTTTAACGTACGATAAGATGCACCAAATTTTCATTTATTTATTTAAAGGCAAATTTCAGGCCTTCAAAGCTTTAAGCTGCTGGCTCGCTTGCTTACGTTATGTGTTTTTGGGGTGAGTTATTGCCATATTTTGCCATATAATTTGCGTTGTTTTAAGCTTCTCAAAATATGTTATCTGTTCACGGCGCCGCATCTAAATAGATAATCAGGGTGGGCTTAAAATGGCTCTACAGGAGGAGCGGACTTCCAGTGCGGACTCAACTGTTGCTGCTGTGGATGAAGAAACTGCAGGCCCAATTCCCATTCAGAAGCTTGAAGTTAGTTGCTGCCCTCAAAATTTGTTTGAAATTACTGCTTTGCACTCACTTCACTTTGGTTCCTATTGCGTCGCTATTGCTATTTCTTCATCGGTTTGGAGTTCTTTTTAGGGCTCTGGAATTTCGGCGGCTGACGTTAAAAAGTTACAAGAAGCAGGATTCTATTCCGTTGAGAGCATACAGTTTGTCCCAAAAAAGGCTTTGCTCGGTATCAAGGGTATCAGTGAAATGAAGGCAGACAAGATTCTGGTATGCGCGTTACACATTCTTGTTATTCATTGTAATAGGATGCTGCCAAGAAACTGGTTCCATTTGGCTTTACAACGGCTACAGAGTTCCACCAGAAGCGTTCGGAAATAATCCAGCTCACTACGGGCTCTAAGGAGTTAGACAAGCTTTTGCAAGGGGGCATTGAAACTGGCTCCATCACTGAGCTCTTTGGTGAATTTCGCACTGGTAAAACACAAATTTGTCACACCCTAGCTGTTACATGCCAGGTTCGTTCGGAAATGCTTCCAGTACTACGCCTAATTTAGTGAGAGACGGGGATTTGTGATGAATGATTCCCAGTTCTTGTTATATTCCTAATGTAGTTCCTCACTGCGGTTCCACTATGCTTCTAAATTTATGTCTACAGCCGTAGGGACTCTAAACTTTTCTATAGCTAAGTCATACGGATTAATGCTACTTTTTACCTGTGTTTGTTAACTTGGAATCCCCATCCCCCTTAAACTTTATGCTTGAATTACTCTACTTGATTACTCCACCCGTTCAGTTACCCGTTGATATGGGAGGTGGTGAAGGCAAGTGTCTTTACATCGATACGGAGGGCACTTTTCGACCAGAGCGGCTTCTCGCCGTCGCTGAACGCTATGGATTATCGGGGAGTGACGTCCTTGATAATGTCGCCTATGCTCGCGCCTACAACACAGATCATCAGATGGAACTCCTCATCAACGCTGCCGCGATGATGAGTGAATCCAGGTGATAGGAGCGGTACCTAGATTTACGTAGGTGGTCCTCAACTGTCAGATAACTTTTGTATGTTTACCTTTCCAGGTACGCTCTTCTCATTGTGGACAGCGCGACAGCCCTCTACCGAACGGACTACTCTGGTCGCGGTGAACTTTCCGCCCGCCAGATGCACTTGGCTCGCTTCCTCCGGACACTCCTCCGTCTGGCCGATGAGTTCGGTGTTGCTGTGGTGATCACCAATCAGGTTGTTGCTCAGGTGGACGGTGCAGCGATGTTTTCGGCAGATCCGAAGAAACCTATTGGTGGTAACATTATGGGGCACGCTTCCACTACTAGGTAAGCACGTCGGAGTTCGATACCTCTCTGCATTGGAATTTTTCGACAGACCGATTCTAACTCCTTTTTTTAGATTGTACCTTCGAAAGGGTAGAGGTGAGACGCGAGTGTGCAAGATCTACGACAGCCCCTGTCTGCCAGAAGCGGAGGCAATGTACGCCATTCTGCCCGATGGGATTGGGGATGCCAAGGACTGAAGTGTTATGTCTCTGTTTCCACATTTTGAAGCCTTTTTCCCGAATTGTCTATCCGTTATGAACTGACATATCATGGCCACAGTTTTCATCTGCGTTATCGGATGAGTCGCACTAGATTCATTTGTATATTTCTTTTTTATCAAACTCTTATCCGATCCTGTTTAATGTGGTGCTTTGGTTTACCGTTTCGGCATTATGGGGAAGTGTTGATCCTGACTGACAGTTAATGTTATCATCTAGTCGTTAGGTATTTTCATGAGAGCATACCTATTTGCTTCACTGTCTTTCCGAGGTGTTGTGTCGAATGTTTAGTCGTCCATTGTTGCCTCTTGACGGAATTGTCTCCTAAACAGCGAAAACTTACCTGCGTTTGATACCTCGGTGCTTTTGGTGTTGCCTATCTGATATTTGTAAAATCCAAAAAGCTGCTAATTTCTCAGTCCCTACAAGTTAAGTGTTGTCAAGTTCTAAAGTGGCTTTACTTCCGAGTGTCTTATAAGTGATTTTCATTATCGGAGTGTCGACGTCTTCTGTAATCTGTGTCAAGGGCAAGAAGGTATCAACAAGTGTCCGTGGAGTGGGTCTCACTTCATGCATCAACTTCGGCCAACGACTTCGATTTTGGCTACCATCTTGTCGACCATTCATTAGTTTAATATCCGAGTATGCATGATGTTTATTCAATTCCGTTCACTTTACCATGTGTAATTTCCCACCTTAATAGTGGGTAGTGTGTATGTCCGTCCATTGCAACAAGCCTGAGAGACTGTTGCAGAGTTTAGTCCGACTATGTTCATCATGTTCATGCAAGTTCCAGACCTCTGATGTAGCAACAGCTTACTTCGATTCGAACGTTTTGAATGAAGTTCCAGATTACCCTATCTTCATCCTGCTCCGCAGTATTTTTCCTTTTTAATCCATAAAGAGTTGTACAGTACCATTTCTTAGGCCCCTATTCATACATACGTTAGAGCTTCTTTCGACAGAAATAAGGATCAAACTTAAGTTCCATTTTAGATATAGGTAGGGAGGTTAGTAACAAACTCCGGTATGTGGGTCCTCTTAAGACTTTGTGTCCTTTGCAGCGGGATTCGTGGTAGCTCTCCTTGCATTTGCTCATTCGAAGCCCTACTAATTGGGGCTTGTGTTTTCTCCTATCCTTGCGCCAAAACGGTGGGAAACGCCGTACATTTTGCTTACGCAGTGGCATTTGATTCAATTTATTCTTAGCGTACGCTCCTGCTGCTCTGGTTGCGTGTGCAAGTAGGTTGGGCGTAAAAATTAACCGCTAATTTTGCAAGGAATCACTACTTTTTTTTCAGGTTGCAGTTCATTCTAACTTAAAACGCGGTGAATTGGGATTGAGACATTTCATCCATTGGAGCCGGGTTATGTGAGGAGAATTAGTCTTAAATGCAAGGTCAAAAATTGGTCATTTTCAAGAGTGATGTTTCTGAATTGGGTATTGCCTTTTCCCTATCTCCATTATTGCGTGGATTTTTCGAAGCCCACCATTCAGGTTAATTTCATGCTACTGATTGTGCTTTTCAGTAAAAGTGATTGATTCTTGAGGCGTTTAAAGGAGGTATGAACAGGAAAATGATGATGATATTACTGCGTTAAATGAGTGCTTAAAGGGCAAAGTTCCCTGTCATGTCTCAGCTAAATTTACACAGGGATGGTATTCAGGGTAGGTGGGTGTCCAAAAGGCAAATAAGGGCAAGTTAACTCATCACAGTCAACATCTTTCGAGCACTGCTATTGGGGACCTTGGCTGCCCTTCTTTTCCGCTGTCCATTACAACGATCATAAAATGCACCAAAGTGACTTACGAAATAAAAATTAGTATTTTGTTAATTCAAATGACAATGAACCCTTCAAGTTTCAGTTGGATACATTGATGTTACTCATTTGAGAAAGCGATTTGAGAGTCTTTCATAGATAACGCTCTGTCTTGAGAAAACTCACCTCTGCTGGTACGCTCTTCTTCTGTTGCTTTATTATTCCTCATTTATTTAGCTTTATATACTGAATTCCACTTTCCCTGTTGGTTACTGCTTTGACTGAAAGATTACCGTGACTGACTTAATTCTTCTGATTCACTTTCCTCCTTATTCCTGGCCATGGGGCCGATTTATTCTTGGACAATCATATGTTGGTGGTCTACGTAGTTGTCATTATTTTTATTCAAAATAGGTTTAAGGTTACCACTCCAATTACCAGCTGGTGATGAATAAGCAAGTGGCACCGTCCATTCTGTTTCAGGAACCTCTAGGCATTAATCTCTAGCTTTGCAAGTTGCTATGCTGCCAGATTTCCCTCCTGTGGTCAATTTTTTTTGGTCATTCTCAGGTCTGAATTTAGATTTGCTTCAAAGGCCTTTCTAATTTGTGGCTGTCTAATACATTCATCGCTTTGGACGAGCAAAGTTCAATTCAAATCGGGCATTTCGCATTTACAAATGAAACAGTAAGACAATTTTAAAGAGCGCAAATTGCCCCCTAGTTAAATCTCTGAACACATTCAGCGTTTAACTGGTAGGTGAAGAGCGACTTTATAGAAAAAAAGTGCGCCAGTGTGACAGTCTGCTTCGCCATTTTCCGTACAGAAGGACTCGTTTCTTTAGTAATTTTGCCACACCAGGCTATGTATTGACCATTCATCCTGGATCAGACCTTCCTCATGGCGGGTGTTGGTTCACAGGACTGACTGCCAAGGCTGTGGGCTGCGACTACAACAAACAAGGTCGTCAATACCAGACGTGAGGTGTCCGTTAAGACTTAGGCACCATTAATCGTCATCATCGAACCACGTGGCGTCGCTGAAGTCTTCTGCATAGGTAGGTATCCGCCTTCGTTGATAGAAATCTTTAGTATATGCACGACTACTGTTGCTTCCCCTCTTGAATAAGTGTCAGCACTACTCTACGTCTTCTGTGCCACACATTATCGGAAGGAGCACCACCACGGTGGCGTATTTGCCTACAGAAGCATCCTGCATAGCTCAACTTGCCCATTTTGGCATCTCCCGACTAAGCAAATAACAGTCCTTCCAAATGTATTGGGTCGCAACTGAGTGAGAGTAGCCTCACTCACCAAAGTACAATGGAATGACACTTTAATGAAGCCGCAAATGCGTGTGGCGAGCCATTAAAAACGTAGCAGTATGTGTCCTACATTAATAATTAATCAAGCAGTTAGCACAGGTCGCTAAATTACGGGTGGATTTAATTGCACAAGCCATATGAAGGCCATCCAATAAACAAGTTCAAATGCTGGTTCCAAGTGTTGCAGTAAGTCTCAAGTACTGACAGTTTCTTTCTTATTACCAAAAGCGAGGAGAGTGGTTTTTCCGGGCTCCTCCTTTTGGTTCTGCTTCCATAATCACTACTTGCTTGCAAAAGTGCGTTCTCATGTACTTTATGGCAAAGTGTGATGCTTTAGACTCGTGCCATGTTTCAAATTCACAGGAGAGTAAACTAGGTGTGTACATCACACAATGGAGAGCCTAATAGCACTGAAAGTGATTTGTGTCTTACTTTAATCATCTGACATGATAAACGCTTGACATAGGCGCGCTTAGATACACTTGAGTGTAGCGCCCCGAGACTTGCCTGAAGACTAAAAAGGCATTACACTGGGTCGGAATATGTATTATCGGTGTAGATAAGGACTGAGGGCTACTGGTATGGCCAGGGGACCAGACCACTCGACGAAGATGCAGTGGTGGAGTATCTAAATGTCTCCTTGACCAAAGACCTAGAGTTAAGCAAACACGCAAAGCACTACATTACGCTAAGTTGCTGATATGCTTTAATTATTCCGGAAAAAGTTACAGAGAATTTCCCGAAGACATATAGTCGAGGGCATGATTTAGCTGGGACTATGTAAATTCCGTGTGTGATTGAAAAAATCCCACCAAAGTCTGGGATACCCTCTAAAATGGCAAACTTCAGCTGCTTTGATGGAGTGACCTTCCCTCATGGTCTAAAGGGATTCAACAAAACTGTGTACACGCTTGTAAATTACACTTTTTTTCTCTATCGGAGACGTGGTGAAGTATAAACTACTTACCTGTCTGTGGTCACCAGGTTTGCAGTTTACGCAAAATGAAGGGGTCATCTATTAACCTGTTGATCATTGTTGGACGGACGAATTTAAAGCTCACGCACATATTCTGTATTGTTTTCCCACTTAAGTAACCGGAGCAATGAACGGAGAACCACTGTAGTCCCGCGAGACTTCTTTGAAGACGAAAGAAGACACTGCTTGAGCTGAACGTGTATTGCAGACCCACTAGCACGGCCCGAATGCCGTGCCGCCCGGCGGGGGCACAATGGCGAAGGCTATATCTGACCCGTTACCAAAGCCGAGAGTTAAACAAACTACCAAGGCATATGGTTTAAGGCTTTTTTTAATTCTAAAGTAAATTGAGGTCACATAATATGTAAACTAATGCCATCGATTTCAACACTTATGACAACCAAAAGTATCTGAAATTTGCACGACGGCCCTGCCATAGTGTAAGTCTACCCAACCGGCTATGTAATGAGGAATCATAAATAGCTGCACAATTAGTTGAAACGGTACGTGAATGCGAATCACGCTTTCTTCGGTTGCTACTGCGTCAAAGTTCTATATTTTGCCGCTCCGGGAGGAGTTTGAAAGGTCACTGCACAAGGGGGCAGGTATTAGTCATCGAGACCGCCTGGCTCCCACTTTACAAGTGGATTACACTAACAAACAAATATTTCTAAAGTTCATGTGTGTGAAATGGCAACTGGTCATAGTAGGAAGATGATACTCAACGGAAACTGCATCCCGATTTCAAGAGTTTCTCAGCTAAAATTCATTGCTCTTTTACTTAATTATTCAGCTAATACAAGCGGCGCATAGTAAGGAAAGTAGACTTTAATGAGGAAGCTTTGCTGAGACAACGAAGGAATCTCCAGCGCATTCGCATTCCCTTTTTAAAACAAAATTAAACAAGAATAAGAGTGGGTTGTCTATTTTATCTTTTGTGAGATATTATGCAAAGCGAAAGTATGATGATTAGACAACGAATCTCCTCTTCCTTTTGTCTCGTAAATTATCATTCAATGTTATAAAAACAGTGGCTAGAGGTCATCCCAAGCCTAAGTTCTAAATAATTCATAAATTCTTTAATTAGTTAAAACACTATTTGGATGCGGAAGCAATGTAGCGCCCCAAGTCATTCCTGAAGAGAAGTTCAAATACCCGGACAAAAAATGCATTGTTAATGAAGAGAAGGGTAGAGGAACTACCGACATGGCCTCTGGACCCTGTCGCCGTGCAGAAGGGCAATGGCTATGCCCTTGAGCACCCCTGCAACCAAAACAAAAATTTAAACAAATAATTTAAATGTAACATGGCCCCCTCTCTCATTTCAAGCATCCTCCCTGGAGCTCCCCTTCATCAACCTCCCATGTTGGCCAGCACAACATATTCGGTGCTGTAGGAAAAGCACCCGCAAGTTAACCGTGCCAATCATCGAATTTCCATGCAACTGAGGCGATACTTGAAGGCAACGTCACTGATTTCTCTTGGTACTTCTACTGGATCTGGGGTTTCTTCCTGTTTAGGAATCGTATTGGAGGGAATATGCTGCCCGTCAGGCGTGTCCATCGCTAGGCATAGGAACACTGACCTTAAGCCGAGTCATTTAACAAAGGATGAGATTTTGCATCTTTTCAAGGTCTTTTCTCCTTGCTGCCTTGTTCTCACTTCAGTGTGACCCAGCCATATCTATTTATCTAGGATATATCCAGCTAGTGAAGGATTGGAGGGGATATCACAAGTCTACCACATTGACATCTTCCTACGGGTGCAGTAGACAGCTCCGTAATGAACCTTTCCGGATGGTTCACAGTTAGTGTCGCTTCAGTTGTTAATAGCCAACCTGGAGACTGGGCTATTTGTCGAAGGTAAACGTCATTCTCAACCCCTCCATTAAAGGTTATCACAGTTTCTCCTATTCGCAGCGTTTGTTCTTCTGCCATCGAGTCAATTTTTGCCATTCAGAAATGTAAATCAGGCTGGTTTTCGTTTAGGGTCAGGCTCGCTTTCTGCTGCCACCAATGTAGCACCCGGACGCCTCCCCTTGATGAGACAAGTCATAACACTAGGGCAGAAGGTGAATCGCAGACGTACAGAAGGGATAGGGGCTACCGGAATGGTCCCAAAGCCACGCCGCTGGACCAAGTCTAATAGCTCTGCCCTTCTCCTCTCGCGTGACCAAAGTAAAGAGCCAAACAATCAAAGTATCACGGTACTTCGAAACACGGATTACTTATTGTACACACTGCCACCACCCTTCTTGGAGAACAAGATAAGATTTATTTACCAGCTTTAAATGCGAAAAGTCTATTCATATCTACCTGCCTCGTTGCACATCGTGGTTGTCAAGACCGCTATCACCTGTTTGTCCATTCATATTTACCGTTTATGGAGAAATCAAAGTTGCAGTTGAATTACACTGCTTCTTCTGTTGGTAAATTCAGTAAAATACTGTGACAGGAAGGAGTAAAATAGCCACATAGTCAGGAAGTTCATTCTAAGAGAGTCAGTCCGGACACAATAAGGCACTCACAATATATTTTTAGTAATTTCTGGTCAAATTACGCTGTAACCTATATTTCGACTAGAATCAAATTCTAAACCACATGCTGTCCATAAATCTAAATATTGACGTACTTACCGTTCACTTATAATTTATAATGGTAAACGCCAAGGTTGGTACTCCCATTTTAAATGAATAGCAGATTTTAAGAGGCGTACTGACTGCAACTTGTGTTGGAAGCTTTACACATAGACAATGAAGAGGCTTTTGATCTTAAAGCAAAATTCGAATGATTTAAAGGTGGAAATTTCTGACAGACTTGAAATTGTCCATTTTATAGCAATCTGCTGCTTGGCCTCAGTTAAGGACGGCCCTCGCAGAAACCATAAGTGGCTTTGGATAAGTGGACAGGCATTCCCCAGGGAGTTACGGGGCCATTATGTTAACGACGTTGTCGCATTACGTTGCCCTCGCATTCGGCGGTACCAGCAGACGCTTTGATGGAGTTTGCGTGATGGGGACTATGAAATAATGGGGGCAAGTCAAACTCCGACAGTTAGTAAGGTGAGTGATTGGTTGTTCAATTAAATGTATCAATTTGTTTCGAAACACTGAATTGGTAAAGGCGTTTACAAATAAGGTGCCCAACGGTTTATTTTGAGCAATAGTAGCAGTTATCTGGACACTGATAGCTGCAAATCAAATAAATTAGTAAAAATGTGTTTTAAACGGGTTTTAAAAGGGTATTTTCTCCAGTTTACGGCATCCATTGCACAGTTTGCCACAATCTGAGCGCAAAATTTTAAGGAATGTGTTCAGGATTGGCGCCGGAATTACGCAGATTCAAAAGCAAGGCTTTAATGTGATCAAATTGTAAGCAAGTGCGCCCACATTTAAATCACAAGGATTGGTTCAAAACGATCAAAGAAATGCCTAACGAAAAGGTTGTCCCTAAAAGAGAGATAAGTGTATCACTTAGATCCATCTTCGCCTGGAGAAAGTGATTAGGATACATAAAAGCTGTTAGAAGCCCAAAAAAGTTCACTCAGTTTCGGACACCTCTTGTAACGAGGAGTTCCTGTAAATTGCATGCGATTATTTATATTAATGCATTGAGAAGCACGGGCATGCGCCAGTCCACTGATACGCTACCACTTCTTGTGACCTCTACCACTTTCCTGCATCTCGGAGGCCTCATTTCATCAGCTGTTGGCCAAACCCAACAAGGTGCTTCCAGATGGTTTTCCACCTCACGAATCGATTTTATATAGGTCGCTAAGCTGCAGCATCGTTGTACATGCCTTCTTGTTAAGTAGTTGGAGAAGGTGCTCTACGCGGTAGCAGAAGGTATCGCCCTGAAAGGGAGATGACCAGTCACTCCAAAACAGATGAATTTCCCTCACAAAATCTCCTCACTCTTGACAGCGAAGGAGACTTAGTTGCCCCGGTAATAATGGCAATATAGGATTAAGGTGTCGAGAAGGACTGTCAATCATGTTCATCCTAGTGAGGGATGCAACCAATGGGTCTTCACCTAAATCTGGCGTGAATGGAGAGCAGATGAGACGTGGAGGCTGGGCAAGTCGGCATCATTCAAATGCTGTTGCTTTAAGAGATGTTGGTGAGCTATGAGAACTACCAATTTGGTGTTTAATTCGTCGACGTAGGTTATAAAAGTGTGACGATGGGGAAGAATTGTTTGCTGGCAGGCTTGCTGACAGATTGATTAGTCGACCTGCCGACCCACCGACCTACTAACTTTCTGACAAAGCTGTGATGAAAAATGGCTTTGGTAGGCATTTGGAATTCCGTTAATTGGACGAACATGCCATACCACATTACTGGTCATCCCCAGACATTCCATTCACTATCAATTTCACACTTTTAAGGCACACCCTACATCATTGCCACTAGACTAGGCCTGCCATGTGCGTGTGTGCGACGTAGTGAGCTACACTGCATAGCACCGCATTGCTGTTCACAAGGTATTGTCCCCTCACTAAAAGCCAAGCTACACCCGTGGCTGCCACTACCTACCTGTCCATCTGTTCGATACACTTCGAAGAAATGTATTAATAGTTTCTTTACAAAGGGGCATCGATGGCAGGCAGGACTAGTCAAGCAGAGAGTGGGAAGAAAGGTATAAGCGGATTCTTGTAAAATATCGCGATATAAGACCTCATACGACAAAATTCTCACCCACGAGAAGACCACATACAGCAAACCGAGTTGGAAGATAGAGAGCCTGCCTCATACTTTCCCTCTCGACATGCCTCAAAGTGGCAATTACTACCCTTTCCTGCCTTTTGTGCTAGATTATCACATGCTAACTGGAGTGGACACTTTGTTGTGAGACAAAGGTGAGAGAGAATGGTACCTGGTTTGGTTTTAGCGTCAAATAATCGCATGAATCTAAAAAACTGGAAAATTCTAGAGGTGGAGCATTTAGAGGATGCATTTGAATGCAGATGACGAGGTTAAAGAGCACTGAAATACCAGGATTTGCTGCGGAATTATAAACCCATTTTTTCTCCTTCCCAAAGAGGTAGTCAGCACACAATGAACCAACTAGTTCTTCTTCCAAATGCATATTTTTCTCTTTAGCACATCTGATTTACATCGGGATGCGCTCCGCCTCGTCCACTGACGCCAAGATGCAAATGTGCCCGGGTTGGTTACAAAACACTTCATGAGGAAAGAACTTTTTAGAGCTTGATTTCATTTTTTCCCCAAGCCACAGCAAAACTCCGTTTAGCTAGACTAATAAGACCACGATTAATGTAGCTCGATTAATTATTCAAACAGGAGATTACAAATTGCTTGCCTAGTTCAAGCAGATCAATCCACTTGTTGGGTGGCACAACACTGCTCATTTGTCAAAAGTTATGGCGCTTCTTATTTATCGTTACTCTCTGCAGAAAAACAGCTAAAAATATTGGTATTTTGGGGATGATTTGGCTCTGCTGGAACAGGTAAGGTCTTTTTTTTTAGCTCATTAAACAGCATCTGCCCACTGACATGGGTCGCAGTTTGACCTTCTTTTCTGGTGCTTTCAAAGGCCCCTTTAGGTTAAGTGTTTATTACCTGTTCAGAATAGATGAAAGTGTCTAAAGATAGGTTGTTGTAACGTCTTTTTTTAACAAAACAGCAGTGGAAAATAAACATGATTTTGGTCGAGACGAGACAGGTGGAACGCCAAGTAGACATCACCTAAATTTAGGGTAGGGATTAAAACAAATAAATTACCTGACAAGAGATATAGACGATATCAAAAGCAAACCAACACTTAAGGGGGGCTTTAAAGTAGCTAAAATTATCTGGGTGATTAAAAATCGATACGCATTTAGCGTCTAATGATTATTTAATTATCGACTATCCAGTGTTACATCGTAAAAACTCCCCTCCCCTCTTTTTTATTGATTTTAGACTGCTTCATTTTTCATCAGTCCAAACAAACGGCTCAAATAGTGATTAAAATTCCGATCGGCCTTTATTTTGGAACAATGCGTAGGGCTGCGAAACTTCCTTGAAGATGGAAAACTACATGGGTTAGGGTATGTATCATCCTCCACAGGTGGGGCTGTGGGGTAAGCAGGGCCTACAGACATGGCCCACAGGCCAGGTCGCAAAGATCGAGAAACCAAAACGAAGAATTAAACAATCAGCCAACACATCACAGCACCCTCCCCTTCTCCTTTCAAGCGTCAGCCCCGACGCCCCCCTTGGTCAACCTCTTACGTCAACCACCACAACGCAGTCAGTGCTATAAAAATAATACCCACAAGCCAACCACGCCAGCCATTAAATTTGGAACCCTTGGCAATTCCACTGGATCTGGAGTTTTATTTTGATTGGGAACCGTATTGGGGAAAGGGAAGAATGTGCTGATCATCTTGTATCGCTATGCGTAAGAACGCTGGTTTAGAAGTAGAGTCATTTCGTAAAAAATAGGGTTTAAAACAGTTTGGTGGGTTCCATCCACCTAGATGAGAGGTGAAGGAGGTATCGACTTCTTACTTAATTGACTTTCTATATGATTCCTAGTAACAGCTAATGTAGCTTTAGTTATTAACAGATGCCCTACAGAATGGGGAATTGGGGGAGTCGCCGAAGGTTGATATGATTTTAAGCCTTGTGTAAGGTTCTGACACATATTATCTCAACCGCTATAATGCGCGCTTCTCCCGTCACGCTAAAAACTTAGCATCCAGCAGTGGAAATCGGAATAGTCGTCTTTTAAGATAGAGTTCTCTATCCACTGCCACCAATGCAGCTCCCCGAGTCTTCCCTGAAGTCAGGGGAAATTATAATACTAGGACAGAAAATGCCCTGACGACGTAGAGGAGGGCTTAGGGGCTACTGGTCTGGCCCGGAGGCAAATGCCGCTGGGCGGGATTTCAAAACTGTGCTGGTCAGTACCCAAGTAACCCAATTATAAAGCTGAAAAACAATTAAGGAGTTGCAAATGCCTGGCAATTAATCACCATTTCAGGAGAACATTGACTAACCTATTCCCATTCCAATTACTGCGAACTACCACGAAATGAAATTAAGTTCGTTTTTTAGGAGAACGAAGGTGAGTTTAATTAGTTGTTCAAAGTTTGTGGCAAGGCAAAAAAGTATCTCCGTCCCCCACCGTGGCAACAACTGCGATGTTAAATGCACCACGTCTCTCAACATTGCAAAATGCAGCAAAACAAACAAGTGAGCATAGAGCTTAAAGCCAGTCCTTTGGGTGAGCGATAATAGTAAATGAATGAGGACCAAAGACATCGTCTTCTCTTAAAGCAGCTACAGAATGTAGAGGTAAGACATATGTCGCCCCAACCAAACTGGCGTGAGGAAATCAACTACACGAGGAAGTGTAAGCTACTGCAGGCAATAAGCGTGGATTATTCAAAATGGCTTGGAAACTAATTAAATGTCCCTCCTCAAATGAGTGAGTTTGAACTTCGGTACTTGCTGTAGCAAATAACATAGAATTGGCGAGAGACTGGGGTACGCAGCTCCCAAGAATGCCTAAGCTGTACACATCAGATTTAGGCTTTGGAGGAAACAAGCTGTCTTTTTCTTAGTTTAAATCAAATATCTTCGTACTTTAAATTAGAAAGCTTATAGGCTGTTGGAAACTGATTTACTGCTACGGACGATTACTGATGCATTCCTGTTATTCCCTTCCGTGCCTCTTAGCTGCTGGGACACGGATAATTTATTGCTCACATTGCCTGTGTAATAATTTTATTATTCAGGACCCACAGCCATCATTTCTTCTTCGTTTATTTTTAGAATTTATATAACTAGTTTTGGCATGTATTTCCCTACTTTGCTTGTAAAATTGACAAATCATAAAAACCAATGAAGACTTTGAAACATTTACTAAAGTGCAAACGCTGGGGAGGCTCTAAATCTTAACTAAAAATTTTGATGGAATGGTTTTGACCTATGAATGAAACATAACAGTTACAAAAATGATGTACTACTTTGGCTCTTTCCTAACTCTTCTTGTTGGATTCCAGGTGCCGAAGCATAGGCTTTTGTGCTTCAGCTGAATGGCGTGGCCTCTAAACTATGCCAGTAGCCCCTCCGTTCATTTGGAAGACTCATGTGTGACATTGGTGGCAGCGCTAAGTAAACCCGATCATAGAGAACAACTATCATGATATCTGTTACTGAATGCTGGACCTTAATGTGACGGAAGAAAGGTATAGGCTGCGGAATACGTAGCGATCCCTAACAGAAGGGCTAAAAATGACGTCTGCCATCGGAGGCAGCCCCCACCCCGTGTTCTGCAGGAATACTATTAACAACTGAAGCGACACTAGCTGTGAACCATCCAAAAAGGTTAGCTACGAAGCAGTTTACGGTGCCCCTATGAAGATGTCAATGAAGTGAACACACGATGTCGCCTCCACCTCTCTTTTAAGTGGGTGGAACTTGGGTAGAAATGGCTGGGCAGAACCAAAGTGCAAACAAAGTGGCAAGAAGGAATAAACAAGGAACCTTGTCACCACGAAACCACATTAAGCTCCATTTTTTAATAAATGACTCTGCTGTTAGACCAATATTCGTACGACTAACGATGGATATACGTGATGACTTGCACATTCCTTCATCCCCCCTCCCCCCGATACAGCTCCCATACGGGACAAAAACCCAGATTCAGTAAATTGGCAGGAGAGGTCAGCTGCATTGCAGTCAGAAATCATCTTATTTACACGCAACTTTGATGATTGGTGCGGTTGGTTGGTAAGTGGTCGATGTGATGGCCGAAGCGGGAGGGCTGACCAAGGGCAGCTTCGGGCACTGCGCCAAAAAGGAAATGGGGGCTATGCAGTACGTTAATTGTCTGTTTACCTCTGCTTTTTGATTTTGCGGGCACCTAAGGAACCGCGTTCACACTTCAGATAGGTGGCATGGCTTCCGGACCATGTCATTCCCCCCTCAGCTAGTCAAATGAACCGGGGAATAAACTCAAATAAATTTTGTCATTGGTGGTAAATGCGTCATGTAGTGATCTTAGGCTGAAAGTGGAGTGTGCGTTTTTGAAGTAAGCTTTGATTCAGCGATTTGATTGACTAGTAGATTTTGCTCTCGCAATGCTAGTCCGTCGTTAGCAGAACATTTGATGCAAATTCGATTCTAGCTAACACGGATCCAACAATAAATAGTCCATAGTCCCGGCTTTAGCAATGATGTGATAAGGACGACTTCGGTATCAAGGTGGTGATAATGTCTTTTACGGTCCAATCGACAACTGGCTGTCGGACAATTCACATTCGCCGACTAATATAAATGATGGTTTCCTCGCTGGAACTGAGCTTAACTTCAACTCTGTTGAAGGGTAATTTCTATTGTCTTCCTGTTCAAAGCGGCAAAATACCAATCAACCGCAAGCGGCGGAGGGGAGAATGCGCACTTTTATTTTCGGACGGCTGTCGTCAGAAATGGGAGAAAGGGGAATATAAAATGGGAGAATAACGTAGGGGGCAACGTTGGCTACTTTGTAGGCTATTTTTCGCAATCACAGTTTTATTTACTTGGTCTGATGTTTGCACCGCCTGAACAAAAGGTCATGGATTTATGAAGAAATAATAAATATTTAGTTAAAACCTTTTAGAATAACCTGTCAATATGATAAAATTCACCAAATTGTTTTTTTTTGGTAATTATTTGCCTAGCTGGCATTCAAATTCCCAGACGGTCGTATTTTGAAGTCGACATTTTTTAAAGCAACACATGAAAAGGTTACGAGGTGGGATTTGCGTTAGGCAGAGAATTTCCAAAATTGCATTATACCCGCAAAGAAGTTATCTCTAACACAAACTGTCGAAAAAATGATAAAAACAGTGAAATTTTGGGTGCCTCTTACTACAAAGGATAACTGTAACCTGTGGAGACTCGTGAAGCTCACCTCTTCATGTGTCTTCATCCATTGGAAGGCACGGACATGCGCCAGTCCACTGATATGCTACCACTTCTTATGACCTCTGCTGCTTTCCTGAGGCTCGGAGGCCTCGTTTCACCAGATTTCGGTTAAACTCAACGGATGTGCTTCGAGATGGTTTTCCACCTCACGAATCGAGTTTGTATAGGCCGCTAAGCTGCAGCATCATTTCGCATACCTTCGTGGGGAGTATTTGGAGAAGAAGAGCTCCAAAGGAGGTGTATCACCATAAAATTTCCTCTCGTGACAATGACGTAGAATTAGGTGGGCCATTGATTGTGGCAATTAAAGGTCAGGGTGGCAGTAAGAACCGTCAGTCACGTTTAACCGAGTAAGTGATAGCATCGTTGATTTACACTTACATCAAGTGGGAAGGGCGGACAGATGGAAGCGGAGGCTGGACATGTAGACGCCACTTAAAAGCTACCGCATTAACGGATGCTAGTGACCTATGAGAGCTACAAATTCGATGCGCATTTCTTCCACGTACGTTAAAAAGGCACTGGTGGGGAATGATCAAGTGCTGGCAGGTTGATCAAATTATATGCAGTTAGACATTTTTTAATGCACAAATATTTGAATGCACTCCCTTGGTTTAGAAGCGGTTTGTGTATGCGGACCTCCTGACTAAGTAGACATCATTGGCACACGAGGAGAAATCGGTCTTGATTCCATTCACCCTTGTATAATACTTGTCCAAAAAAGGATGTCCCCTGTAGCCGGTCTGCTCTTTATGGAGGGTGTGAAGCCAGAGGTGGAATGGCGAAGCGCTGAACCCGTTTAAATTCAATGCTCTGCAATCCCTTTATTTCGTCACTTTAAAGTGTATTTCGTAATTTTATCTCTGCCAATAGAATTGTAGTGCCCCAGCACTGACACAATACACAGGCAGAAGATGTATTTTCGGCTTACAGTAGGACTTGGTGACGACAGCCCATCTGGCGGAGGTACAATCAAGGAGCATGCAGGGAGCCTCCTTACCTAAACCGAGAGTTATACCTCCAACGTACTAAAATAGGACAGCTTTGCCATCTACATAGGTTCTCAGTAGCCTATGACCCAATTCTGTAGTGCAATCACCATATTTTCTGATTTTCCAGGGCAGAAACACACTGAAATTAATCAAAATGTATGCTTTGTTTGATTCCGATGGCTACTACAATCTTCGAAGTAAATATAAGCTGGACCCCACACATACAGCTACAGCCCAATTTTTCTGAAGTTAATGAACTCCAAAATTACTCCTAAAAGAAACAACATGCATTCCTTACTATCAACATTAAAAAGTGAATCCATGAGCATTAAGTGATATATTCTTAAAAAATTGACCGAAGTCACACACATTGATATGAAGGAAAGAGTTGCCTGCTTTCTTTGGCTTACCCAAGTCTGGTGAGGGTTTTAAAAACAGTATTTACAGGAGGAAGCCATCCGAAACTATGCAATACTCTGATTAATTTTTAACTCTTTGTTTTTATCTCAAGGACACTTAAGGCTCCACCCGTGTACTTCCGCTAGACGGCATGGCACCAGGGCCATGCTGGCAGTCCACCCCCCGCCCAAGCCCTTCTGCATGTCGGCAATACATTGCCTCAGTGTCAGGCCTCCTTTCGTCATCAGGAAGTCGCGAGACACTAAAGTTACTGCATAGCCATTGGCAGATGCCAACTGATGGGCTGCGAGCTCCCTTCACAATAGTGATCGTCAAAATCGATACCCTACCGAGACTGGTGTGTGATTGGCTGTTAGCCCGTCATTAAGGAGGCAGTTAAAAACGACACTTTCTAGTCATTTTTTTTATCTGATTTGACAAATCATTTTAAGTAGTTGGAAATACTACCACTACGAAACTGCAGCATCGCATATGTGAATCCCATAAGAAATTTTGGATTGTAAAATCTTCAATTTTAGTGGAAATCTTTGTATTGTTGTGGTTAACTTGACAAGATATGACATTCTTCTTTTTCAACAATGCATGCTTCCTATTGTCGTTTTGGTAACGCCATTACCCGAATTCCGTTCAACCAGGAGAGAGAGGAAGGGTGAAGATGGGAGTCAAACTCATTAGTTAAAAAATGTTTATAAATTCCTGGTGAACTTTAGAATAGATGTTTAGGGTTTTACTGGCCTATTAATAAAGTGTCGAATAAGGGAGTTAACTCGTGGTTACCCAGGTACACAAAAGTTCCAGTACCCACAAGACTGCCCTACGCACATCGAAGCTGCCATTGGTAATTCAAAAATGATGACACCATTACTACTGAGGAGTGAATGAAGATCCTTCTTTCTTACTTCCACTAAACAAATCCTCATAAAGTCGCGCTATCATTGGTACTATAATCCCCTTCACCCCGTTTTCTTCCAATTCTACACAACCAATACCTTGTTGTAAAAGGAAATTAGCTTACTGCTTAGAAGTGGTTAAAGTCGTTTACATTTCATGTGCATTTGTTATTAAGGATTAGTGTTGGGAGAAAACAAATTTGAAAAACCTTAACTATGTAATTAAAATATCATTTTTTTTTCCGAGAAGTGAAGCCCGAATTGAAGGTCAACAATTTTTTCTCAATCTTTCCGATTGGTGGGTTAAATGGAATGTAAAACTAATCATTCTACGATCCCTTTTTTGCATCCCCTCGAATTCGCAAAAGTCAAATTATTGGACAAAAGACAAGTAATGAGGGCTGAGGCATGTCGATTCTCAAGATGCCGCTCACGCGACCACCCAGAATTCGGAGACGCATGGCTGACTCATAAGGGCTGCTCACACCTGTGGCTCGATTTTCCACCAATCAGACCACGGCGTTCTGATCCGGCCTCCTTAACTGAACCTTAAGATACTACTTTACGGAGGCACAAGAGGATTTCTGCAGCCAATGCCAGATGGGCGAGAAGTGGAAATTGCCTTCGTGCTTCACGGTGGGCAGAGCGCAACTGACCGACCACGACTGCACCTTGCTACTTCCTCCCTATGCGACTATTACACGCGCCTTTTTGCTATCAATGTGTGCTAGGTATCGAAGCCCCTATGACAGTGATGGGATAAATTTTTTTCGCTATGATAGGGCAATGTTACCCTACATCCATCATAGTGGTTAGGTATGCCAGAAAGCACATGCTTCACATTGCATTATCTGTTACACTGGATTAACTATTTTTGGTCTATTAGAGATTTTTAAGATGATTTAAATCTCTTCTCTAAGTTAGCCTGTTAGGTGTAGGCACAAGATTAGCATTTTAAATACCCTGTGTGGAGGTTACTATCTCTTTTTCTATTCCAGAGGCATAAGCACCGGAAGCAATTAGAGCAGTGTGAATGTTTTGAAAGCTGCGAAAGTTGGCACAAGGAAGCAGCCATATGTAAGTAGATAGCGCTGAATCGCTATAAATAATGCATTTGCAAAATGTGGAAGAAAAGCCGGAATAAAAAACTCAAAGCTGCAGTACGAAACACTGAGTCAACTGTGCACCTGATTGGCTGAGCTATGGCCAATAGGAAGACTGTGTGAAGGTGCATCTATTTCTCCATTTTAATTTTTAGTTACCGAAGAAATGCCGTTTATCATACAGTAAGTTGGTGATTTCTAAAAAGATTATAAATACGCCAATACAATTTAGAAAGCTGGACTGTCAAAGCTTGATTGCTTTGTAACACCATATTCACCTATGTAATATATGCAGTGGGAGTAGTTGGATAAAAATGGTTTAAGACGCAGCACCAATTAAAATTATCTAAAATTGTAGTTTCGTTGTTTTTCTAACTGTGGCATTCGCCTTTACGAGCCTAAGAAACCAACATATCCCATGACATTTGGATCTGTTTTCCATTTTCGACCCCGCTCAAGGCACTTTGGGCTCCAAGGTCAGGGCACAAATTCGACCAAGTAATTTTTGAATCGGGCTGCACCATCGGTGCCTTGTCTTTTACCAGATGCCCTTCCCTGAATGGTTCCGTGCGTGCACGTAAGTTTGTGCCTGCTTGTCACCCAATGAGGGTTCACCTTTGGCTTGCGATCAATACACCTCGCCTCCTGATTGGCTGTTAGGGACAGGAGGTGATAAATACAAAGATACATAAAAAATATTTGTTATTCTTATTACACTAGTCATTTAGTTTGATTTTCTCACGCATTTTGCGAGGATATACTTAGGCTTCATTTAGTGCACAAGCGAAAGAGTACACACACGGATGTAACACTTCTTTGCCTAAGGTCATTAAAATGCCTATTCATCGACGAGGATAGGAAATTTAAATCATACGCTTGCGTTATTTTTCTCACGCAGAAGGTAGATGTACTTAGGTATATTTTAATTACGGTTTATTACTTTATGAACCTGGCCTGCAGTTCTAGAAACGCTCCATCGAAGCCATGCCCTGCCTGAAGTGGCTAGGTGAAGCTATAGTTCAGTGGTGCAGGGTCAAATTTCACCCCACCAAACAAAAAAAGATTCTTGAGAGGACAGATTTTTTCTGAGATGGCCAACATATCGATGCTTTTAGGAAAAAGGGAATATAGGATGGGATAAATAAACCCTTGTTACTTCCTATTGGGGTTGTTTTGTGGTGATGAAAGTTGGAGGTCAAATTTAACCAGCAGTTGAAGGCATGACCTAGCACTAATCACAGACTTATAATGATTGACCAGCCTTTACAATTGCAAAGTGAAATGAAGCTGAATTATAGGTGCAGCTTAAAGCTTCAACCCCTTATCACAGCGCATTTGCCCCAATAAGTTCTTTTATGACAGTTTATGCCAAAATGCCTCATTTAAGGCGAAAGAACAGTGAATATTTTGCATTCTGAAATTATGTATAATTCCTAAAAGTCTTACCAAGTACTAGGTTAGTGATTAATCGACGTAAAACCAATCAAACTATTTAAATATTAGCCTTCCTGCTGTTAAGGCATCCAATTGCAGGAGGGTCTTATCCTGCAAGACCTTGCGCAAAGTGTGCATCATCCACCTACCAGATGATCGATGGATGAGGAAAATGGTGAATGTTGGTAAGTACATAGGATCTACAGGGACTTCATTAGAGGTGCACACGCAACCTGGAAAACGGTGTGTGCGAATGATAATGAGATTACTCCGGGTCGCTGATTGGCTCACGGCGGCACCAATGAGGGGCCTGGATCTGGTTCGCGTGTTGGACCTGAGCCTATAGGCAGCACGTGCAGCCGTTATTTTGGGAGAGAGCATGATTGGCTCGTGCGACAAATTGGTCAGTGGCTCACGACCAGACCAATCCACTTTTCTTGCCAGTCTATTAAACTCTCTCATCATTTGGAAGGGCGTCTTTGGAATACTTAAACCAGCTCACGCACATTGAAACACCAGTACACATACGCACTTACCAATATCGCACAGTCTTGCGAATAAGAACTTGAACAAAAGCAGAGGATGTCCAACGTAACGAGTGGTACAAAAGAAAACGTCGAAGAGGAAAAATGGGTAAGTGAAAAATGTGGTGTTTTACACACGTCTTGAGTTCATGTTGGTCAAAATTTTACTAATGGATTCCTTAATTACGATTTTTTTGAACTGTGGCTGCATATTCAATAAACTTGAATCATTTTCATTTTAAAGTCAGTATATTACTTGTTTGTGGTGAATTTATGCCAGTTAAATAAATATCCTGATACATTTTAAAGCTATTTACATGACCTCTGGAATGCCATACAAGTGATTCTCTAGTCAAGTGAAGGAAAAATGAGGTTAAAACTCTGTGCAGTTATTTTGAAGACCGTTTAACAGTTCAACATGTTTATTTGTAAAAATGAATTACAATTATGAAGACATAATCTTGATCTTAAAATCTGTACGCTTCAACACGATTTGTACTAGCAAAGTGCATGCTGATCGTCAAATCTCCAGCACACTGCGGAAGAGCTCAATGCGGTACTGTTTTTTGTACCCTAATTTGCATAAATTGAATTCCACTTTCTCCTTTTGTGAATTTGTATCTATTTTTAGAAAATATTGGTCTCGGTTGCTCCGATTTGGAAAAAAATATTGTAAAACAGGAAGTACTACGATAACCTACGAAAAAAAAACAATAGCTTAAGGTCAAAACGCTTGGTTTTTAAAGCTTAACCAGCGTAATTGTGCAACAGTCTGAGGACTGTTTGTGACCCATTGGTAATTGCTCCCAGGAGAGTGGCATGAACAAGTAAACAGACTTCATGTGTAGGGATGCAGACTGCTTATCTAGGATCGAACGATCTGGGCTTCCACGCTCTTTTAGAATGCTGCAGATTTGTTCCATTGAAACTCATTTTGTTCACAGTGTTCGCTCGCCTACATGAATTGACCCCGAGTGTTTGCCTCCAAGGTCAACACCCTCACCAACATGTAACCTGTAACATCGCATAGAAGCTGCACTTTTACTGACAGTCGCGCAAACCAAACAGCGCCTAACAACCGCCTAAACTACGACTTACAGAGTGAAGGCAAAGTGGTGTCATCCAAAAAAAACATTTGGACAAGGAAGGGGAAAATGGCCCCAGAGCTTGGGAAGCTGACATTATTTTTTACTAGTAGCCGTTCCGCTACGTCATCGACGCCGAAGTCCAAGCTCTAAGTCCGACTTGAGATGATTAGAGATGGAATTTGCATTAACTAAAACTTGCTTATGCTTTAAGTGAAATAATTATATCAGCTTACAAAAAGGCGAGGAGACTGATTTCCCTTGAAAGTTGAGTAGATTTCTTGCAACGTCTTACCCTAATGTCCCGGAGAAACGAGTTAATTTCTTTCTTCCACATTTCAAAAAGAGTTTACAGATTTGTTTTTTTTTGATTAAGGGCAAGATTGAACTCTATTTCAACTTATTATATTCCTGTATACATTTTTTCGCAACGGTGCTAAACTTTTAAACATGCGTCCATGAATTTTTTATTCGCATTTTGTTGTGCAATGACACCATTCATTAATAATTTAATGGGTGAGATGAAAATCAACTTGATTCCAGTGCGGGACTTCAAATTCAAGCCAGTCTTTTTATTATGTTAGGTAATCTTTTATCCTAACAAACTTGCAAATAATTTGGAATCTTCAGTGGTAACTTAATGAAATGCTGCTGCGGTCGTGGTGCTTTCAGTGGGAAGCACAAATTACACCGCTGTCGGAGGGAAGGCATCTCGGTTTCCCAGTACCTTAACAACCATTTCGAGAATCGATTAGCCTAAAGCCCAATATTTCCTGAGTAATTTTAATCATTTAGTGGAGAAATAAAGGTTCAGCGGTTGTTTTGGTGGTGGTGAATATTCCATCCCGCAGATGTTTGAACAGATTACGTTTAAAAAAGTTTTCCGATTATCAGTCATACCCTGTTTGAAAAAACGGAGTCCGCATCGGTTACGGGATTAAGCACTAAGCCATCAAAGTATATTCTCTTCGTCGGCTAGTTTAAGCAATCGCTCAAGCATTAAGGGAACAGGGAATGAAATAGAGAATGTACTATAAAATTGAACAGATCGCAAAGACTTCTACCGAGTAATTGTTCATTTTTGCCACATTCGCCTCAGTTTTCTCCTGTTAACTCACTTCAAAGGGTTCGAGGCAAGGTACAAACTTAAAGTGTCGTTTAGTAGTTTTAACTACCCAAAGGCACACCTTTTGGCAACCGAAACGCTGGTAGTTTGTGTTAAAGAGTTTGGCACAAGGCGCCGCTGGTGTGCATTTGTGAAAAAAGCGTGTTCCAAGTGTTGTACGAATATTTGGCAAGGCTCTAAATAAAATCTCCTTGGGATAACCTACCGCATGTGCGAGAGACCAAAATAGGGTAGGTACTGCTACATCTTCGACCTTTTTGGTTAGGATTTCTTAATAAAGTCCTAACGTAATTATTGCTGATTGTATAACAGGGTGAGACTGAAGACTGTTAAGAGTGGAGGTGTAGAGCTCTGGTGATAATCCATCAAATCCTGCGATCGAACTCCTTCCATTAATTTGATTGGATCGCAGAAACACTACAGTCAGGCTGTATTTTACTCTAATTTCTTGATTTATGAACACAAGGGTTTCATGTCCTGCCATTTAAGATGTTGTTACTATTGTTCCACCTTAACTTTTAACTGGCATCTTATTTAGAGGTGTTTGAGAGCATCAATTGATGAGTAAATAGCCATTAATGACGAGCATATCCATTGAGATGTGGGGTGAATGGGCCTAGGGAATGATTTGGATGTCTTAACATCATTTACTATCACTTCATAATTACAAATTCTTTTCACCTAAATTGGTCCCAAAACATCGTCCAGAAGTATATGGTCAAGAAGAGGAATGAAACAATTTGTTAATGGGTTTAAATATGACAATAGAGTGAAAAAGACTAGCAAGCTATTCAAAATGTGAAAGAAGTATTGCAAAACTTATAAGAGTGACCTATAAGAGATTTTCCTTTGATTTAACTAACTTCTCTGTTGGTCACTTAGTAGAACAGAGGCAGATAGTACTACCACCTATTAACTTAATTGGAATTTCAGGCATAGAGGTGCTCATCTCGTCAAACACAAAACAATCACGCATGAGGCCTCTGATTAGGTAAATTCACATATTTCCAGGGTGACTCCATCCAGAATCACACACATGGTAGTCGTTGGATATTTTGGTTTGGCCCAGGCATGTGTGCTTAAAACAGACAATATTTTACGTACTTAAAGGTATTCATCCCATGTCACCGCTCTGCCTCTCTCTCATTAAGATAAAATTTTACCTCTTAAGCACCAACTCCATTAACCATTGTTTATTGAACCAGACTGTGTGGCATTTAGACAACTCAGTGCCACAAGACCAGTGGTTGTTAGCACACATCGGTTCACTCAGAGGGGAAGAAAGAAAGAAAGAACCAGTGAATTACTTGCCCCTCCAGCTAGGGTCGTATGCAACGCACATTGCCAGTGGCAACAGACCAAGTAAGCGACGTCTCCACCCGTGGCACAGGACCCTCAATTCAGCACATTAGTCAGTCAGTCACTTGTCTGCCACCACATCAGTTTGCCTATTGCACTCCCCATGGTGGCATGTGTTGAATGCAGTTGCTTTCCCACGTCACACACACACACCGCCTAATGACACGACTACCTTCAATCGAATGCCACCTCATGCCAAACACACACATTCCGTCGCCTCTTTTCCCATTGCTCCTCGCTCTGCTACCGCTCGTCATGAGGTGATACTCCCACTTTGGCTGCTGCAACATAATCACCCACCACCACCTGAAGTGTGACATCTTCTTCCTCTCCAAAGTGGCCTCCTACGTCTAATCATGCGAAGAGAGAAATGAAAGTCATTTTGGGTTTATGTGCATACTTATGTCCCATAAGAATGTATGGAGAGGCAGCAGTGCGTCAAGAGGTGAGTCCGCCATGTGGAAGGCAAGTGCTCTCCACTTTGCGAAAGGGAGACGGTGGCCATTTGATGGCAAATGTTGAAAGAAGAATCACTGACATGCGATCTCACGGGAAAGCAGTGTTGGTGCTTAGTGAAGATCGACTTGGATGCGTGGGTGTGGCGTGTTCTGGGTCTTGTGAAGAAGCGAAGTAGGTTGAGCTAATGGACGACCAATTCAGATTGAAGTCACTTCTACTCTGTAGAGGTAACAAATCTCACCTTTCTAATTGTCACTGAACTGCGAGATGCGTGCACTGCATGCTGGCGACTCTCAGTTAAGCCCTCATGCCAACCATTTGTGGCAATCAGCATTTCACGACCAGTGCCAGCGAATCAGGAGGGTGGGGCGCATGAGTTCACGTAGCCACACTCTCCCCTGCCACACCATCCCAGATCATTGATGCAACGGGTGGAAAACAGCCCACTCATTAGCTCGTCTGATCGTGTCAGAGGCAATAATCAGAGAGGAATGTTAGCTTTGTGGTTAGTTTGATACGTCGGTGTGTTGCATCGTGTCCATGTTCAAACACGTTCTCGATATGGCTCACACTCACATCTGCGTTCAAAGACGTGTGCGGTCAAACCGGAAGCAGCATCAGCAGTAGCAGCAACATCGGCTACAGCAGTAGTGGCAGGCACGTGTGTGTGTGTGCGTGTGTGCGTGTGCCAATGTGTGTTTGTGCATGTTTGGACTTGAGCCTTGTACCACCAACTCACCCTAGTGACTGTGGGTCGTTGCTAGGTCACGCACTGACTTGCGACATCTCTGAACTCTTCTGCGGCCACCTGGGTCAGCTGTAGTAAGGTCAGCTAAACACGCAGCTGCATTTGACCCTGCCAATAACTCACCTCTTCTCATCGGTTGGTTGCGACTCTTTCTCAACTCCTTTCAAATCGCCACCACTCATTCTTGTGCAATCGACGTCGAATGGATTTGAAACGAGGTGCCTTTCGTGTCACCACATAACAGTATTCTTTGTTTAGTTATTCGTACTTACAGCTTCTTAAAACTGGCCTCATTTTGCAGTGCAAGGGGCCGGTGGGGTTAACCTTCGGAGGAGCCACTTTGAGTTGTGT